TTTGTCGTTTTTTTTTAATTAAAAAAAAAATCTCAGTTTTGATTTGATATTATGAAAAGAAAACCGGTCTAACTAAAAAAAATGATCGTTCATGTTTGACAATTAGACAATCCTGAACTTTGTCTCGCTTTGGGTTCGTTCATTATCTCAGGTGTAATTGTTGATATCAATGCGGGCTGTGATAGTGGCGTACACTAGGCTGTCCGCGACGGGGTCAACTGATGCTAGTGTCTTGAACCCATCACTCATGGCTTCACTCGTGCTCGCAGGTGATATTCACAGCCTTGATTGTTTTAATATCGATCTCTTTACGTTACTACGATGTACGTAGTTCACGTTCACATCTCCATACACACAGCAACCTTAATCTTTACTGGAAAAAAAAAAACAGCGAATGTGTCGGCAAGATGTCTTCGTATGTGAACTATACAAAAAATATAAAAAATAAAAATTGCATTTGTAAAAATTATCTTAGCTAAATCCAAGATGACAACGCGCAAAAAATTCTAGAATTTTTCTACACTCAATAGTATTTGGACTGGATCTTTTTTAGTGTATAATTATTATTTTTAATCTCTAGATTTTTTAGTTTTTATCTCCTTGCCACCTCTTGTATTCGGTGAGTTTGGTTTCTTCATTCATTTCATTTTATCTTTACTGATTCATAATTATACAGTTCACCGACGGAGGCTTTTGACTAATACTTACGTAATTTTTTCTTTTTAAAGTTTGAAATTCCCCTCCACCTGCACCGATTTATATATATATATATATATATATATATATATATATATATATACATATAATATGAATTTAATTTCTGTCCCAACTTCCAAATAATTTCGTTTATAGAAACCGGATGTTGACAGAATTTCCCGTGAATCGGGTAATGTGTGGAGTTTATATTTGTTTGTCTGAGCCAATAGCTTCTCTTTGTTGCGTTTGAATAATTTGTGCGCATGCGCTGTAACCTCAGACATACATATTTTAATTTTTTTTATTTTATTTTAAAATATACCCTTTGCGGTTCTACCAGGTCAAAGTACTAACATGGTTGATCCCACCCCAACTCCCCAAAAAACATCCCCCCCCCCTCCCAAATTAAATAAATCTTTGAATATTCTCACGAGGGTCAATGGTGGATGTCTAATTTTAGTTGTAAAGGTGGACATAATTTCAGGCAGGGCTGCGAAAGCCTTTAAGTTATTATTAATATTTTTAAAACAAATGACGGCTTTGTTTTCTATCGGGGACCAAACCATTCACATGCAGGATGCATTGTGTCCCAAATACCACATCGTTCCTTCCAAGATAGACCAAATGCCTGTTTCAAAGACAACAAAACAAAACTTTAACTTAGAAGTGTAAGGCTACCGGAATTATGGCGGGTGTAGCTTTAACTTAGAAGTGTAAGGCTACCGGATTATGGCGGGTGTAGCTTTAACTTAGAAGTGTAAGGCTACCGGAATTATGGCGGGTGTAGCTTTAACTTAGAAGTGTAAGGCTACCGGAATTATGGCGGGTGTAGCTTTAACTTAGAAGTGTAAGGCTACCGGAATTATGGCGGGTGTAGCTTTAACTTAGAAGTGTAAGGCTACCGGAATTATGGCGGGTGTAGCTTTAACTTAGAAGTGTAAGGCTACTGGAATTATGGCGGGTGTAGCTTTAACTTAGAAGTGTAAGGCTACCGGAATTATGGCGGGTGTAGTCATCTAAAATCTGACCATCTTTAAAACATCAGATTGATCAACTGGTTGAACAACACCAACCGCCATAGACTCGGTCATCAGTGGTTGTAGTGTCAGTTGTCATGTGACGGGTTGGTCAGCAGTATGGGCAGCGATTACAGAACAGGGATCCTTAAATTATTTAATAAGGGGGCGGTTAACTGCACCCCCCCCTCCCAAGCAGGAAAAACATGGGGCTGGTTCAGTGTCCCATAGAGTGTATTGGGGGGCGGGCTATAGTTTGAAAAAAAATGTTATTATATTTATTTTTTATTTTCTATGTATAGTCCACGAATCTAATGTGTTGAGGAAAAAAAAAACAAAAACAAAAAAATAACACGTAGACTAAATACAATAAAATCTTTAAATGGTAAAAACAATTTAAATCAAAATAAAGTTATCAAATTTTAATTGGAAGCATGGACCTGGCTTTTGGCTAATGAAACGGCCAATGTCCGGTTCTATATTTGTCACTGTTAACAGGGTAAACGAGCTACGGCATGACGGGCCGGATTTAGGATACCCATTGGTCCGGATCTGGCCCGATGGCCGTAGTTTGAGCACTTCTCGTTTACAACATGATTGGAATTGACAAGCTGTAGTGATGTGAGTTGGGGGGTGGGGGTGGAGGTGGAGGGGGTAGGGCGGGTTGTGGAACAAAACGAGATAACAAACTGACTAGTGCACCGGGCATGCACCGAGTTTCAAGGCGAATACTAAAAATAGGAAATCGATGTTTTAGTTGTATTGAACATTTTGTAACTGTCATTACATCGTAGGAGTGGGCCTCACATTATAGGAGTGGGACGTGAATCATAGGAGTGGGATCACATTAAAAGGACTCATATTAAAGGAGGAGGGCTCACATTATGGGAGTGGAGTTCACATCCAAGGACTCGGGCTCACACCATAGGAGGATTGGGGCTCACATTATAGGGGTGGGGATCACATAAAGGACGGAGGCTCACATTATGGGAGTGGGGCTCACATCATAGGAGTTGGGATCCCATTAAAAGGAAGGGGGCCTCACATAATGAGAGTGGGGCTCATATTATTGGAATGGGGATCACAATATAGGAGTGGTGCTCAAAAATTATAGCAGTGGGGCTCACATTAAAGGAGAGGGGTTCACATAAAGCGAATGGGACGAACTGTGGGAGATCTTCTAGAAAAATCCTCAAGGCAAATAAAAAAAAAAAAGCCTACAAAGATATAATTATTATAATCCAAACTTTGAAATGGGAAGCCTGGCTGTTAGCTCTGTCAGCAACACTCACTCTCGCCAACATCGATATGCACGCTTACCTCCCGTGCGCTAGTACCGGTAACCCGGGGCGAAGCCACCTGAACGGCGTGTAGACAATATGGCGTCCAAAACTGGTTGTAAAATCGTTCTTTTTCGTCTTATAATTAGCAGACGATTACATTGCGCATCGACAGTTTGGTGCGCCTGAACAGTAGCAAAAATAATAAAGAAAGTAAAGACGAATCAATTAATGTAAAAGCGTTTTAATACAGACAAACAGATTCAACTCTTTTTATTAATTTTTTAATCATCATGGATAATGGACAAGATTTAGACATGTCATCCCTCTTTATTTACACGTCTAGTAACGCCCCTGTCTTGTTTTCCCGTCTCAATTTACGTATTTTTTCTTTTCTTTTCTTTTTTTGTTTTTTTTGTTTTTCCTTATGGCGGGAAACCAACCAAACTATTTACTGGACAGTCACCAAACGACACTGACATGACCCCGCGGTTATGTAAACACGAGCGATAAGCTTGCCAGTACGTGCGCCTTTAGTGTCCCCAGTTCCAACAGTCGACTTTCTTATCACCCGAGTCGAGGATAGAGTATCACGTTGACAACAATCCGCGGCCTCTCGATTGGCCGATGCCCAAAATAAAATCCGGGTCACGGTACAGGTATTGCAAATGTCATTTTGCGAACTCGATCCCGCCCGGGTATATTCGATTACCTTTTGGATTGATGTTTCTTTATGAATGAATCCATGTATTATGTGTACGAGTAAAAAAAAAAAAATTTTAAGGGTGAAGTGAAGGAAATATGACGATGCATTTTACGTTCATCCATCCCTGCGGCGCTACAGCCCATGAAGACTTTGGCCTGCCTCACCAATTCCTTCCACTCAGACCTAACTAATGCTTTTCTTTTCCGTGCTTGGGTTCCCAGCTGCTGTAGATCCCCTTCCACATCATCCATCCCTCTAAACCTAGGTCTGCATTTGGAAAAGGAAATGAGTAAAATAAAGTATGGGAAAACCGGAAAAAAGGAACGCAACAAAACAACGAACGTGTCGACAGGAAGCCTTTGTCAGCGAACAAACAACAGAAAAAAAAAACACCGAATTAAATAAAATAGCGTTTAGCTGAAAAATAGTATCCGATAAGGCAGCAAAAGAATTGTAGACACTGCTTTATAAATAGTAGCTTTGAACCACTGTGTTGTTCGTTTGTTCAATTTTGACCTTTTCTACCGATCCAGTTGTCAAAATAATATTTTTTAAAAGCAATATGTCACTTCCCTAATACATCGATATTTTTGTCTATAAGCAAAAACTAACAAAACGGTTGTTATATCTGTCCAATAAATACTTTAAAAAACACGGGTTGTGAAATATCGAACTTGTAAAAAAGCATAAAAATTCCCTTAATAGACTTAATTAACCCATCTTTTATTTTCTAACACCAAGTACCAAGCATGTTGTTTCATGACATCAGTCCAGCTCTGTCTGTGACATCAATACAGCTCTGTCTGTGACATCAGTCCAGCTGTCTGTAACATCAGTCCAGCTCTGTCTGTGACATCAGTCCAGCTCTGTCTGTGACATCAGTCCAGCTGCCTGTGACATCAGTCCAGCTCTGTCAGTGACATCAATCCAGCTCTGTCTGTGACATCAATCAAGCCCTGTCTGTGACATCAGCCCAGCTGTCTGTGACATCAGTCAAGCTGTCTGTGACATCAGTCCAGCTCTGACAGTGACATCAATCCAGCTCTGTTAGTGACATCAGTCCAGCTCTGTCAGTGACATCAGCCCAGCTCTGTCTGACCTTGCACTCGTTCCTTTAATCCTAATTTTCGACCATCATTTATTATTATACGCGCTAATTGAAGATCTTTGATACACGAATTCCATTGCCGCTATCTTTGAAACTAGACCAAAGACCGATATCGCTCTGTGACCATCCGAGATCAATTTTTTTTAATGGCCTGAAATTTAAGAGAAATCTATTTTTTCCCCTCTAGATTCGTAATGGAGCCTATTCAGTTTCAAGATGAAAATGGCGGTTGTCTGACATTGCTTGAAGACGCGGGCTACTACTTCGGTCCGAATGTCCAGCCTGAACACATCATCAACCTGCAGAACTTCAAGGCCAGGCCGGATGATACACTAGTGGTCACTTTCCCCAAATCAGGTGAGTTTCGTCGCGCAACCATAATTTTAATAGCATTTGAAAGACATTGTTGGATGAGGACATTTCACCGGTAGCCTTCGAAGAGACTTGGACACTCTAATCCAAAGGCGCAGACTGTACACACTTTACAACCACAACACCACGGCCCAGATTGTACAAATTTTACAACCACAACACTACGGCCCAGATTGTACAAACTTTACAACCACAAAACCACGGGCCAGATTGTACACACTTTACAACCACAACACCACGGGCCAGATTGTACAAACTTTACAACCGAAATCCCACGGCCCAGATTGTACAACCTTTACAACCACAACACTACGGCACAGATTGTACAACCTTTACAACCACAACACTACGGCCCAGATTGTACAAACTTTACAACCACAACACCACGGTCCAGATTGTACAACCTTTACAACCACAACTCTACGGCCCAGATTGTACAAACTTTACAACCACAACTCTACGGCCCAGATTGTACAAACTTTACAACCACAACATCACAATTCCTTATTATTAGGGCAATGGTAGATTTCGGCTCCCACAGCAAGTCCCTGCGATTGGCCTTGGCCAATCCTAGTCAAGCCCTATTGTAATTATCTTACCACATCCATTAATTACAACAGACACGAATACTTTATCCACAGGAACCCACTGGCTGAATGAGATCACATCCATGCTTGTCAACCGATACCGAAACCTGTCCCCGGACACCATGAAACACTTGGAATACCTGCCCGTGGACGTCTTGGATGAGCTCCCCTCACCCGTAAGCTGAAAACTCGGAAACCCGCGTTCTAAAGAATTAAAATTATAAACTCACAATAATGAATCAATTTATCGGAAGTATGCAATTATGAAACGAACCAAGTCTGAGACGAATAGGAAAAATCGGCTATGAGTATTGTATTTTTAATTATGATTATTTGTTTGAAATAATATTATTTTATTCTTTCGTTTCGATTCATTTAAAAAAAAAATAACAGTATCTATTATTGTATTTTTGCATTTTATTTTTATTTTTGTCCCCGAAAGCGCGTGTTATGCACCCACCTGCCTTATCCCAGAATCCCCCTGGACTTCCTCCGGAAGCGCTGTAAGATTATCGTCTGCTTGCGCAACCCGCGAGACATCGCTGTGTCCTACTTCAAGTTCATCACCAATCTCAAAGCCTGGAACTATTCAGGCTACTGGGACGGATTTTTCCAACTTTTCCTCAACGGCAATAGTGAGTACTTTGACTAGCGCATCAACTTGACTCATCAGATCAACTTGACTTATTAAATCAAATTGACTAGAAAATTAACTTGACTTCTTAATTTAACTTGAATAGTCCATTTAACTTTACCTACCAAATCAAATTGAGTTATCAAATCAAATTGTCATAAGATCCATTCAACTTATTAGTTCAACTTGTCTTAGCAATTCAACTTGACTTTGCAATTCATCTTAACTTATCAATTCAACTTCATTGATCAGTTCACTTTGCAATTCATCTTAACTTATCAATTCAACTTCATTGATCAGTTCATCTCCACTTATCTAATTTACTTGACTGATACATTTGAAACTCTTGAAAGTTGTTGCTGTTTACAGGGCTATGATTATTTTAACATTTCTTGTTTCCTGTTTCAGTTCCTTACAACAGTTGGTTCGAACACACTGACACGTGGCTCAAAGTGGCCAGGGTCGGCAAACACAATGTTCACGTGGTTTTTTACGAAGCCTTCCAGGCAGTAAGTGAACGCACTAAGTTCTTTTATCATTAAACTCATTGACTGCCCCAAAACAAATTCCTATTTGTTCTTTCACAATACAATACATAAGTTTTAGCCTTAAATTTCACCTGGATGTCCCCCCCCCCACCCCCGATGTTCCCCCACGTTCCCTCTTACATAATTTATGTTTAACCCAAGGATCCACTTGATTCTTTTCCAGGACTTCAAGACTGCTGTCACGCAGTTGTCCGACTTCCTCGGCATCAGCCACACGGGAGAATTTATAGACGATGTCCACAGAGAGACCAGCTTCCAGAACATGAAGCAGAACAAGGAGGACTACACCCTCGTGCTCAGCAAAGACGGAAAGTCCCCCATCTACAGGAAAGGTTGGTTGGTCTTTTCTGATCCACCACCATGATGCGTCTTGTTTTTAGATCAGATGATTTTGATGTGTTTTTTTAATTTGTTTTTTTTTTAAGGCATTGAAGGAACAAAATCCACTGATTCAGTAATGTTAGTAGTAGTTTCTAAAAGCTGAGTCACATTCCAGATATTTGCAAACAACAAGTCTTTATTATAGGATTGCCTCGACATTTTACATTACTGATTGCATTCAAGAGCTGTGTAAGGGGAAAAAATATGAAAGAACACAATTTATATTCTGTATACAACTTCTGAAAGAATAGTGCCCCTTGCCCCCCCCCCCCACACACACACTTTTCCACGAAAAACCCTGCAGTAGGCCCGAAATGCCGCCAACCAATATAAGAACACACACTTTTCCACGAAAAACCCTGCAGTAGGCCCGAAATGCCGCCAACCAATATAAGGAAAAATATACCGCACTCGGACCCCCCCCCCTCCCCCACTCCTTCCACGCCACCTCTTACGCCCCTGATAATTAAATCTCACTCTGAGAGTTAAGTCAACCGTTTCATTCTTTGACCTATATCATCTTTTCCATAGGGGAAGTCGGCGACTGGATGAATTGGTTCACGCCCGAACAGATCCACTTAATGGACCAGGAGATGGAGGCCTGGGGCCTGCACCTGGAGCCCAGGATCATGTACACCCTGGACACGGAGGAGGACTCCGGATCCACGTGATGCACCAGGTCTGAGACACCCCACCAAAAATAGGTCTCCAAACATGATCGCCAGTTTGCATTCAGTTTGTCGTTAACTTTAACGCTCTCTGACATCTTGCACAAAACAAGAAATGCAAAAAACAAGGACCTTTACAACAAACAAAACCATTTGGCGGAACAATTGTTTTGAAAAGACGCTATTTAAAATACCATACAATGCACAAAAAAATCATTTGATGTAAACAAGAACAGCCATTGACAAGACTTAGTGGCTGAGATTATTTCATTTAAATATATGACGTCAGTTTGGGTTTCATAAAGTTACCTCCTTACCCTGCCGGAAGTGGTCATTGGTGTTTTGTCCCACGCCAGAATGAACTGTTACACCACCATGACCTTCCCCGGCAGACGTGACTTCTATTATACTTCTTATGTACATGTATGTGTGTATTAATTTATGATTTTATGTATGGTCGCGTCTTGGCAGCAGGACTTGTGATATTCTCTCCCCCGTCTCCTTGTGTCACACATAATCGGGGATATTCATTCACACAGTTCGCTGCCATGGCCAATGGTCAGAAGACGTAAGACTTGGTGAAAGCGCGAGGCAAGCTCGAGTCGAGGCTCAGTTGCTCGTGCAGTTATGACGGATTCGGATAATTGTAAAATTCATTCGGGAAACAGAAGAATATCAAAACTGTAGCCAAATCCGAAAGGATATCACGTAGCTTATTCTGAGAATGATATCACGTAGCTTATTCTGAGAATGATATCACGTAGCCTATACTGAGAATGATATCACGTAGCCTTTTCTGAGAATGATATCATGTAGCCTATTCTGAGAATGATATCACGTAGCCTATTCTGATAATGATATGACGTAGCTTATTCTGAGAATGATATCACGTAGCCTATTCTGAGAATGATATCACGTAGCCTATTCTGAGAATGATATCACGTAGCCTTTTTTGAGAATGATATCATATAGTCTATTTTTATGAGTCCGCCCTATTAAAAAAAAAAAAACATGTATTTTTCCCCGGACATTTATTTATACTACACGAAGCACAAATATTGTTTTTATAAAATTCGTATGTTGAACGATTCCAAAATATATCTCCAACTGTTTAACATTTATAATTTTCCATTTATGTAGTTGAACACAAATTTCTACTTTCCTCTTTATAAAACCAAATTGATTTGTCTACTCTCTTAATTCATAAGAAATATAGTTTGAAGGATCCCTCCAGTCTTGTATATAAAGTCTATTTATGGATTTAAAAAAAAATTCTTGCTGTATCAAATGATCATATCATAAACTGTCCCATTGAAGGTGTCATTGCAGCACCATTGGAAGCCTATGACTCCCTATTCATTCGACACCTTAGATACGATCTTAAGATTAGAAATACACAAAGGGGGAAAAAATCAATATGGATTATTTTTGGAAGCTGTCTCCTTTGGAGTTGAATAAAAAATTATATAAATAGATCATATCGACCTACTTGTATTGATTTGTTTCACCACGTCTGCTACACCCACGTCATTTGTATTGGTATGGTCGGGAATATGAACGTTAAGTTTAGAAGGCTACCTATCAGATCTTTGGATAGAATGCGCAGCTGATTCAATTTAAAAGTACCGTCAACACACAGGGCGAGGCTAAGCAGGTGAACCCTTTGCCACGGTGCTTCGAGGCGACGAGTGTCCAGGCTTGTAGGTCGATGGCACAATGACCAGGGTCCAGGCTTGTAGATTGATGGCACAATGACCAGCGTCCAGGCTTGTAGATCGATGGCACAATGACCAGGGTCCAGGCTTGTAGATTGATGGCACAATGAACAGGGTCCAGGCTTGTAGATTGATGGCACAATGACCAGGGTCTAGGCTTGTAGATCGATGGAACAATGACCAGGGTCCAGGCTTGTAGATCGATTGCACAATGACCAGCGTCAAGGCTTGTAGATTGATGACACAATGACCAGGGTCCAGGCTTGTAGATCGATGGCACAATGACCAGGGCCCAGGCTTGTAGGTTGATGGCAGAATGACCAGGATCCAGGCATGTAGGATGATGACACAATGACCAGGGTCCAGGCTTGCAGATTGATGGCACAATGACCAGGGTGCACGCTTGTAGAGTGATGGCAGAATGAACAGGGTCCAGGCTTGTAGATTGATGGCACAATGACCAGGGTCTAGGCTTGTAGATCGATGGCACAATGACCAGGGTCCAGGCTTGTAGATCGATTGCACAATGACCAGCGTCAAGGCTTGTAGATTGATGGCACAATGACCAGGGTCCAGGCTTGTAGATCGATGGCACAATGACCAGGGCCCAGGCTTGTAGGTTGATGGCAGAATGACCAGGATCCAGGGATGTAGGTTGATGACACAATGACCAGGGTCCAGGCTTGTAGATTGATGGCACAATGACCAGGGTCTAGGCTTTTAGGTCGATGGCACAATGACCAGGGTCCAGGCTTGTAGGTCGACGGCACAATGACCAGGGTCCAGGCTTGTAGATTGATGGCACAATGACCAGCAAGTTTCTCGTCGAAAGCCCGGAGACTCTGACCAACGTCCGTCAAGTCTAATCAAGTCTAAACACATCACATTTCATAAAACGCAACGCAATGCACAACACCAAATACAAAGCAATCTTAAACTTACCACAGAATACAATGCACAATGGAGAAACCTACAGAGCTCTATCAAACATCAGTTCAAGAACGTTAACTCGGTACGCGTACTTAGATGGTAATAGGAGGCCAGGGAAATTATAAATCACGCCTAAATAACTATATTTTTATTTTTATGAATCTCTTAATTTTAAGATGAACGCCTACACCATGATGCTATCCATTCGTTATTCCGTCATCAACAAACCAAATTGTTTTATACTATTTTCGTACTGTTTTAAATAAATACAAATTGAAATTAAACAAACAAAATATATTATTATTCCTAAGTTCATTGTTCATTGTTTTCTGTGTTGTTACAACTCAGCAAGTCATTTTTTTCCTATGGTGTTATAATTCAGCAAGCCATTGTTTCCTATGGTGTTACAACTCAGCAAGCCATTGTTTCCTATGGTGTTACAACTCAAAAAGCCATTGTTTACTATGGTGTTACAACTCAGCAAGCCATTGTTTCCGATTGTTTAGTTGATAACTGCCTGTTTTATCTGGATTTTGCCTCTGCATCCGTCTTAGTGTTGTGTCTGTCTCAATATGACACTTGTCTTCTTTTTTTTAACATTATTTTTTATACACACTATACATATGTGATTATAACTGTCACATGTGACGTAATATTCGAATGTTAAAGAACATTAAGTCATTTTAATATTTCTAGAAAATGTAAATATTTGTAAAGTGTTTTCCCCAAAATATTTTGAAAGCATTTCGTTTACAGCTGGTTTATTAAGGAGATATCCATTGGGTCTTTCAAACCCGAGTTCATGATACCCTTGCTGAGCAGCCCTTGCAACCAGTGAAATATCCTCTTCAATACCAACACAGCAACATTGAAAATCCCTCAACATAAATAGGAACGAGAGCGATCAATACATCGATCGTGGTCCCTTAATATGTTATAGAAGAAGACATTTTTAAAAAGCATAAAATCTTCTTCGATGTCTTTATAATGACGTGTTGTGCACCGTGGCCACATGCCTTCATCGTAAAATAAAACCATGGCTTCACATTGAAAAACATAGTATCAACAAATACGTGCATCTGCCTAAAATGAATTTTAAATTTTACATGAACAAAAATTTGCCTCGGGGCCTGGATTCATCACAAGTCTCGTTGCCCTCTTTTACTACCGAGATGTAGCGAGAACTTATCTCAAGCCAAAAACCGGATATAATTTCCTGACATGCGCAGAAGTTATCAAGTGCGTATCGTCGTGTCCGGTAACTAAGTGTCTCTGAGCAGTAAAGATTTCCGAAAGATAGAGGACAACATTTAATTTTTTGTTTGTTTTTCTTTTGTTTGTAAAAGGATGTCCCTTCAATGGACTAGAGGGCACCTCCATTGAGCTACATGCACCTCCCTTGAGCTACATGCACCTCCCGTGGGTTACATGAACCTCCCTTGGGCTACATGGACCTCCCTTGGGCTACATGCAGCTCCCTTGGGCTACATGCCCCTCCCTTGAGCTACATGCACCTCCCGTGGGTTACATGCACCTCCCTTGGGCTACATGCACCTCCCTTGGGCTACATGGACCTCCCGTGGCTTACATGCACCTCCCTTCTGCTACATGCACCTCCCTTGGACTACATGCACCTCCCACTCCCTTGGGCTACATGCCCCTCCCTTGAGCTACATGCACCTCCCGTGGGTTACATGCACCTCCCTTGGGTTACATGCACCTCCCTTGGGCTACATGGACCTCCCGTGGGTTACATGCACCTCCCTTGGGCTACATGCACCTCCCGTGGGTTACATGCACCTCCCTTGGGTTACATGCACCTCCCTTGGGGTACATGGACCTCCGTTGAGCTACATGCACCTCCCTTGGGCTACATGGACCTCCCTTGAGCTACATGCACCTCCCATGGGTTACATGCACCTCCCTTGGGCTACATGGACCTCCCTTGAGCTACATGCACCTCCCGTGGGTTACATGCACCTCCCTTGGGCTACATGCACCTCCCTTGGGCTACATGCAGCTCCCTTGTGCTACATGCACCTCCCTTGGGCTACATGCACCTCCTTACAGAGAAACTGTACGGTGAATCAAAGTTTCTCAGCTGTAGACGGATAAGAAAACTATTTTCAAAAAAAAACCCGGAGATATTTTTTGAATGGCACATAGTTGCCGTCTAGATCTTGTTCGTTTCTTTAAAGTTCCATTAGGGGGGGGGGAGGGCACATAGTTGCCGTCTAGATCTTGTTCGTTTCTTTAAAGTTCCATTAGGGGGGGGGGAGGGGTAAGGCATGGGGGTTGGGGGGTGTTCCTTTGTACAAACAGAACATCTCATTCTGTATTTTTTCATATATTTCTTTTTGTCTTTGCGATTCTCTCAGTTCGTTTGCCCTTACATCGCACAAAAAGTTTTAATTATTTTTCTTTAAATCCAGGAATGTTAAATTTCATGTATGTACATTTTGTGTTTGTTTCTTTGTTGCGCATCCTCTCCGTTTATGTCGGTGTGTGTGGATGAAACAAAAGTAACACCCGAAACAGCATGCAGTTAGCAGTACACTAATAAAGCAATGTACAGTTAGCAGGAAACTAATAAAGCAATGTACAGTTAGCAGGACACTAATAAAGCAATGTACAGTTAGCAGGACACTAATAAAGCAATATACAGTTAGCAGGACACTAATAAAGCAATGTACAGTTAGCAGGACACTAATAAAGCAATATACAGTTAGTAGGACACTAATAAAGCAATATACAATTAGCAGGACACTAATAAAGCAATATACAGTTAGCAGGACACTAATAAAGCAATATACAGTAAGCAGGACACTAATAAAGCAATGTACAGTTAGCAGGACACTAATAAAGCAATATACAGTTAGCAGGACACAATAAAGCAATATACAGTTAGCAGGACACTAATAAAGCAATATACAGTTAGCAGGACACCAATAAAGCAATGTACAGTTAGTAGGACACCAATAAAGCAATGTACAGTTAGCAGGGAACCAATAAAGCAATATACAGTTAGCAGGGCACTAATAA